ACCTATTATGAGGCCAGTGTAAGCTCAAAACACAGGTTCACACCTAGTTTCAGTTGTTTGCCCTTTCTTCTCATAAGGCTCCAGCCCTTAGAAACGGGCGGTTGTAGATCGACACAGGTATATCATAGATTTTGTATTAATATAATTTTTATTAAAATTTTGATTAATATTTGTCAAAACAGAGATTGTTACTATTGTGTGTTGATCTACGACTTTTACGTCTAAATAAAAGACGATTTCAATTATTATTTTTTATGAAATAAAGATATTTTGAGTTTGAGAGTCAGAGGCAACCTGACGGCCATGAACGGCCATCTTTGATTAATTTCGACTACACAATAGGAAATAACTTTGTAAAATTGCCTGAATAAGGATTTTATTTGTTTATTTTTATTGTTCTGACTGAAGACACGAAGACATTCTACGTTATGACAGGGGTACGATAAATTAATCAAACTATTAAGCATCTCGTAATTAAAAAACCCAGAAAGTAATTCTCATTTTCTTCCACTCCTGTGGTTCTCTAGTCTCCGACTCTCACTCTTAGTGAACTTAAGAATAACTTGTAATGATTTTCAGTTACAAATATGTCAATTAATTTTTTTTGGTGATAATTTTATAACGGAATAAAAACAGTGCAGCGCCTGTCACTGCTGTGGAAGGTCGCGTGGGGTACTTGAAAAAGGTTTCCCCCGAAATTAGCTTGCTAACAGGAAGTATTGATACCGATATTCAATAATTATCTAGCGAGACATGGACATACGAACATAAGCTTCCGAGGCACTGTTATTAAACATCAATAGTTCTGAACTTTATAAGGGTAGATGTTCAAAATCTCAATCGCCCGAATTTTAATTGTAACATCTCAAGTAGAGCCTGGATTGTCCTCCATTATCAATTTCATATCTTCAAATCAATATTAGTAAATTATTTGACAATAGCAAGGTATGACGTCACTTGTTAGTATTTCATACAAAAATTATATCCTTTTGACGCTTGTCTTGACATTAATCAACGCCGTTACTTAACATGGGTTGTATAATGATATTTTATGTTGTCTTGTAAGTTTAATGTCAGTAAAGAAAGCTATTCAGGTGTATAAGGATAGAAGCTACTGGTTGGTAGTGTCTGCCTATCCCTAAAGGATTAAAACCGTGACATTGTGTGTGTAAATAACCAATCGTGACAGCTAAAATGTAGCGGAGCTTCGAATAACTGTGACATACGTGGGAATACTTCTTTGAATGTTCCAATTTGACTGACCCGTTTATCAAGCGGTTCTGATCTTGACTGCTGAGTGGGGTCCATTTCAACCCAGGAGAAACAATTGTGTGATGAACCGGTCATTTGGTCTGTCTGGGTGTGATTTATCTGTTTGTATTTAGAAATATATAGGTATGTATATCAGCAGTCTGGTTACCATAGTACAGGCTGTGCCTAGTTTGGGATCAGACGGCCGTGTGTAAACATAATTACGCGTATAACTATAATTAATAAACAACATATTAGATACATGTTTATTTCGGATTACTGGGTTATATGGCGAGGCGCCTTTTAGCCGTCAATAATGAAATGAAGCTAAAAAAAATATATATACTTATTTAAACCTGCCATCTATAAAAGTACCAGTAAAAATATTTCTCTAATAAGTGTGTGTGGCATCACGCTACGAACCTTAGGGGCGAGACAGCGCGCAGGCCTGGGGGTGATAGGTGAGGCCATCTGTCACCCTAGCAGATGCAGGTCGGGGTGGCGGCGTACGCGCTGTGAAGCGCGCGCGCCCTTTACACCGTGGTTCCCACACACGAGGGGGTCACCTACCAGCTGTAGATGCCCCGGAGTCCGTCGGGGTTCCAGGGATTTCCTTCCTAGGGTACACCTGGTTCCCCGGCTACTGGTACCTGAGGCGGCGTCCGGTTTTTAGTCGGTTTATGACCGACATAACCCCCGGTAGGTGATATCCGAGGGTATTACCGCACAGACAAAAAAAAGGGGGGGGGCGAGACAGCGACTGCAAACGCAGCGGAACGTTAACATTAAATATCCAAATACAACCCTGAATTAACCGACAACGAATAACAGTGGTTACATAAACGTATTACATTTTAATTCTTCTAATTACTTGTTACACACTACTTCCAAATAATTATAACACGATTTTTATTTTCAATTTTTTTTTGAGAAATTTATAGAGATATGGTTTAAAAACATACATAAATATACTCACGCTGATATGCAAGAGTTCGTAAGCAGAGGTTTTAAAAACAGATTGTATAATAATCCACAGAAATGTACTTTATGCCATACGTTTTATTATTATCTTAGAATACAACTTAAATAATTCAATTTGTAAATATATTTTTTTTCTACATACTATGTGTATTGTAAACATCGGCCGTTGATTTTATTGTAGACGATTCTGGGGCAAACAAATCCCTATTTTTTTTTTGGGTAGAGGGGCATACAAGGAGGCAGGTCATCTGATTATAAGTGACTACCGGAGCCCATTTGAAGTCACAAATGCGTTGCCATGCTTTGAATTCTCCCACCAGAATCTGGTTCTACGGGTCCTAAGGAGGTTACTTTTCACCGTGATAACCGCCGGGCGGAGCCGCGGTCATAAGCTAGAATGTTTTAAACAATAAAATCAAGCAATTTCTAATAATTTTTTACTTAATATATGCACAGTATAAGCATCCAAACAATATATCATGACACAAATTATTGTAACACGGTACAGTGGTTCCTGAGATATCAACCCACATACAAACTCAAGACGTAGAACTCCCCGGAGAGAGATTGACAAAACTCCAGTAACACTAACAAATGTCTATATATACCGGGAACCACTTACCATAACATCTATAGTTCTCTGTGAAGGGCCTCACTCTACTGATATGAGAATCTATTTTTAAAGAAACCCAGGACGTAGAACTCCCGGAGAGCAGAAAAAGATTGACAAAACTCCAGTAACACTAACAAATGTCTATATATACCGGGAACCACTTACCAAAACATCTATAGTTCTTTGTGAAGGGCCTCACTCTGCTGATATGAGAATCTATTTTTAAACCATATCTCTTTTTGCAGGTCATGTCAAAATTCTGAACATGTTGAGCAAATTACAATTATTTAAGGTCCTAATCCAGACGTGCGATTATTTTGTCGTAGGTGGGTGATTATTTTGTGTTATAATTTGGCCAATTTAATTAAATAAAACTTCCCTGAACACTTTTGGGAAACAACAGCTGCATATATGTGGTACGGCCAGAACTCTTAAGAAAACCCGTCATAAATAGGGATGGAATAAACTTACAAACAATATGATTTATGAATCATATGATTTACAAGTCATATAATCACAGCTGTGACCAATTCACAAATCAATGCAACTTATTATTACGCTATTATCTAACAAAAATGTCGTGACCTTTGATAAGTCCGTATGGTGACGGATTAGGAATATGGAACGTCACCTATACATCCCCTGGGTGTCGTAAGAGCAGACTGAGAGAGCAAATTATGCATGATAACAACACTGCGAAGAGAAGGAAAACTTGAAACAAACCCTATACCAACCCGTCTGGTCAGCCTGGTAGAGTAGGCCAAAACCTAAGGAGAGGCCTATGTCCAGCTGTCCTATAGGCTGTTGATGATGATGAATCTTTAATAAAAATAATTTTGAATGATTTCGATGGTATTTATCAGGGCCTCTGCTATTTTTTGTTAACGCCAAGACACTGTCTTTAAATTGACACGCTATTGAGATGCCATTGACATAGGTTAAAATATCAGTATTCTACTAACTATATAATTAAAATGTACCGTTTACCAAACTGTTACAAAGACATCGACGACATTTGTATCAGTGACAATTCATCGGCCATTGGTCTTACATAGTTAGTAGAATAGGAAAAGTGCTAAACTATTCCGACGACATTCCATCGACAGTCTATTGATACATTATTGAAATATAAGAATTGAGGCCCTGGTTTATGACCAAATCACAATCACAGGTGAAATCGCTGTGAATATAACCAATAATTTCATATGATTATGATTTAAAAGTAGTTATAATTTCCTTGTCTAGTCATAAGCATTTTTAACTAACCGAACCCTGGGGAGAAGCAAGAAACAGTAAGAGTTCTGACGGTAACATATACAACAAATTGTTCTAGATAATATTTAAGTATATTAAGATATTTCACTAAAATTTAAATTAGACAAATATTTTTTTGCTTTACTAATTCTAAATGCTCCGTAATAGAACTGTTTCATTTCGTTATTAAAACTACAAGTTTTTAAGTCGAGTCAGTTATAAAAATTATATTAAACACATGCAATAGTAATAATACATGAGACTAAATAATATATTTTTACCTATTAAAGGAGCAAAGTATCATCTTAAAACTTACCATGAAGTTTAAGTCAAGTTTTTTAAGTTGGCAATGTCAATGTTAGTTTATAAATATGTTTATTATTATTTAAAGACATGTATTATTGCAATGTATTAATATTTCGCTATATCCTAGTTTTTAGTTAATTTTTAATTGGAATGAAAATGTTGCTACAATGGCAACACCAAATAAGACACTCATTGTTGAGATATCTAGAAAATTCTATTTAAAATTTAACTAAAAATGCCTTTAAGAGGCTTTTGGTACTTTGGTAGTACAATTTAGTATGGTTTCCTAACTGAATCTCACTTTACACAATAAGTCACTTCACTAATAAGTGTCACATTGCCACTATAATTTCACTATTTAGTACCAAGTTGTTGCCTAGTCCGTGTCTAATATCAATGGTTTTTTAGTCAATTTTATTTGAAATGGCTTAGACAAATTTTAAATGATGCCCAGTGTTGGACAATTTTTACAACAGCCCACTCTCACACAAATACCAATGCACTATACCTAATTAAAAAATCACCAATTTCCCCACTTGGGCCTTGATGCCCACAGCTGGGCAACGCCATCTATCGACTGAGATGGCTCCTCCTACTAACTGTTGTAATCTTTGTCACACCGATCATCATGGTCCCAATATTTTGCACTCCTGGGCACTTCGGTCACATGTCTTTTCGGTGGAGTTTTACCTGAGGAGTCATTGGTACCATTGCCGGTCCCGTTTCCACTCCCATCTTCTCCACTATTGCGTCTAGTCAATCTCCCTTGCCTAGCATCTCGAGAGTTTCTTGACGAGGAGCGATCTTTGAATTTTTCTTTCTCCTCCTCATCATTAACATTGTCTGTAGATTTCTGTCTAGTCCAATTTCTCTGTCGATTCCTATTAGGATCTTCCTTTAGATCACTCTTCTCTTTCCTCCAGTTCTCAACAGGTCTACGACTGCTATTTTTCTGCATCTCATTATTTACTCGTTCTGGCATTTGGGGTATACTCCGTTCCGAATTTACTCTTTCTACCATTGGAGGAGGTCGCTCTGTGTTTGGGGGCACTGGGGGTCTCTCTGGAGGGTACTGGGGAAAGCTGTCGCCCTGGGGGTTGTATTGAACGTTAGTGTACTGATTCTGAATATAAGCACCATCGCCTTGCTGTAGGTAGTTGACGAAATTTTCTTGATAGTTATATCTTGGGGGTGGGTAATCTGTAAAATTTGGTGGTAAAACAGTCTGATTGTACTCTAACTCTTCCTTCTTCTCTTCTTCCTGCTGCCTCCAGGAGTTTAAGTCATATCTTTTGGTTAAAGCATTTTTCGTGGTCCAGGTATCAAAATTATCTTGGCTCACCGACAAGGCCTGTTCTTGTCTGAGCAGGCCAGCGCCTGCTCCCAATATTGGCCTCAGTTTAGGCTTTGAATCATCATTATTATTTAGACTGACTTGAGACAAGTTTGCGCTTATTTTATCGGTGGATTCTGGCGTATGTTCTGGTCGGAATTCTTCTTTTTCAGGGGTGTTCTTCCAGGATCCATAGCTGACCTCACTGAAGTTTTCTTCTGTGGTAAGTTCTAAATGTGCCGCGTAGAACTGTTGTAACGTGTTTGGGAGTGGGAGGAACTTGTTGAGGCACAGGTCTGCGGACAGGAGGAGCCATATGGTGCTGATGGGCGGCGGGGACAGCAGACGGAGACGTATCGATATGGACAACTCATCGAGCTCTTGAGCTAAGACTGAGAGGAGCTCGCGCCCGTTCTGCATCAGCTGTAAAAAACAAACATGTATGTTAATAAATTACACACACATCATTAAATATTAAATAACGATTTACTGAATAGATTTTCTCGAATTACAGCTAAAACACTTTCAATTTCATCACTTTAAAAAAAAACCGGTAAATTCGTAAATTTTTGCGTAAGGCGTTAAGCGGATATTGTTGACGTATACGTCACTATACTATACACACTACGGGAAGTTTTTTCTATCTTAGTGTTACATTAATAATAATTTTTAACTGATCCTTTCAACATGGGATATCCAAGTGTAGGGTTCGGTAAGATTGCTTATTGATGTTCCTGTCCTACTCGGTCCTGATCTCGGTCTCTCAGAGCTCCTGCAGCCTTAGTCCCATTTCCCATCTGAGAATCATTTACCCCAGCTCCCTCGCCTTTATTTACCCCAATTTCCCCTCCCCGTTTCGATGACATCCCCAAAGAGGGTTTTCGCAATCGTTACGCAAGATGGTGATGATGAGTGTTTAATACTAACCTGAGTTGCGAGACTACGGTGAGCTCTAATATCATCGCTGGCGAGCAATGCACGCATGTACTGCAGCAGGGGACTGGCTAGGATGTGTACTTTGTTGCCGTTGCACAGGCGAGCCTCTGAAAACATACGTAATATATGGTTAACTTCTATCTACACTGCACAGATGGCGTAGTGGTTTAGTGCTGAGTGTTGTGGGTTCGAACCCCACATGGGACCACCAATTTTTATAATCCACAAATTGTTTTTCTGAGTCTGGGTGTTCTTTGTGTCCGTTTCATGTATGTTTGTAAAGTCGCCCGCGAAATAGGATATATATGGCCAGACGGGTTGGAATAGGGCTTGTATCTAGTTTTCCTTCTCTTTGCAGTATTGTTATCACGCATAATTTGCTCCCTTAGTCGTCTCTTACGACACCCAAGGGATGAATAGGGGTGGTGACACTCCATATTCTTTATCTGTCACCACACGGACTATTTATTTAATTGCTTACCAACAATTGTATACACTGGTTAAAATTCTAAAGACATTTTACACTGATTATGAAGTGGCATAGTGTTACAATTACTTATAGGTAAACCTCCTTTCTGATTAGAGGGCTACGTCCAGCAGTGGACTATTAAAGGCTCTTGATGTGATGATGATGATGAAACAATAATTATTGTATATTTATACTTAATTTATATAAGTAGTTTTTGGCAATAAAAAAAGAATCATCAAAATCGGTTCACCTAGTCAAAAGTTCTGAGGTAACAAACATAAAAAAAAAATACAGTCGAATTGAGAACCTCCTCCTTTTTTTGATGTCGGTTAAAAACACAAGGTACCTTTTAAAAAGTATTTTGTATGGTACTGAGAAACTTGGTAATTGAGTCAGTATGTATATACATCTATTACTAAATACACACATAATAATTGTATTATTAATGTAAAAGTGAGTTTATTTGTTACGCTACCACTAAACAGATATTAAAAATTCTTTCACCAATGGAAAGCTAAGCAGCGAGTAATCATCATCATCATCAACAGCCCTTAACAGTCCACTGCTGGACATAGGCCTCTCCTTAAATTGGAGGTTTTGGCCTACTATACCACGTTGGCAAGACGGGTTGGTATAGGGTTTCAAGTTTTCCTTCTTTTTGCAGTGCTGTTGTTTTGCACAGTTTGCTCCCTTAGTCGGCTCTTACGACACCCACGGGATGAATAGGGGTGGTGACACTGTGTATTCTTAATCCGTCACCACACGGAGCAGCGAGTAATATTGGCAAATTTTTACCGCGGAACTGACATAAACGCGAGCGGAGCCGCAGGCAAAAGCTAATTATAATATACAGAAATAACACCCAAGCAAAACCAATGAATGATTTGTTTTCTTTAGGTATCGAATTCACGACCTCTGACTAAGCAGTCGGGACTGCTAATCATTGTCCGAAAGGAGAGTCAAATACCAACAAAGTGTAAAGACAAACAGTTCATTTCTAATATTTACCTGCAAAATAATCTCCCATGAGATTAGCAGCGTTGATTAGAAAGAGAGGATTCGATCTTTCTAAGACATCCAGTTCTGAAATAAAAAGTAAAAAAATATTAGATGGTTGCTTACGGTACGGTTTAAGAAGAATTCCCTTTTCTACACACTATTTAGGCCATGGTAATCGCTTACTACCAGCTGGGCCGTATGCTTGTTTGCCACCGAAGTGGTATGCAACAATTAACATTTACGTAAATTACAACAATAGAAGATCATTTAAGCCAGAGATCAGAGCCGGAAGTTTTGTATTGAATGCTTCTGAATGCAACGTCTTCTGATAAATCAGATCTAAATTCCATCCAGTTACGGTTTTAGGCAAGATTTAGCAGTGGGGTTAACAAAAACACTAGTAATGATATTGCTTGTATTTTTCATAAAGATAGAGTAATCTCATACACTTTATGAACACGAGTAAGAGCTAGAGTGAAGCCATCGAATAAAACAAGACAGTGACAGTAAATGCAAGCTAAATCGTGGTGGGAAGGGAGGATATTCATGATACTGACTGGAGAAGGTGCCCTGCATGACGACGTTGAGCAGCGCGCCTCTCAGCAGCTGCTGTCGCTGTTGGCGCGTGAAGGACGCGCCCACGGCCGCCAGCTTGCGCGCCGACACCGCGCTCAGCAGCGCCGCCGCGCGGAACGTCGCGAAAGCTTGCCTGTGAACACATGAGACCCAACATGTAGCCCTGTGGAACTCCCAACTGGCTTTGGGAACTATCGTACCCGACCATTCAAAATAACGATGTTGTGATATTTTCGTGTTAAGATTTAATTGTTTACTTTGTTATAAGTGACATGCGAGTCGTTAGACCCACTCTGGTAATAGAATTTTAAATAGGTAACAGTATCGAAGGCTTTACGCAGACACGATGTATGGTGCACTTACTGCAATCTAGATTCATCAGGACACATGGTAGTGACTGTTGTCTCGAAATGGCGCAGTTTCCTGTTGAACTGGATACCATCTTCTCCAGGAGAGAACTGTTCTAGCTGTAATCATAGTAATCACAGATTAAAATCCATCACAAAACGAATTATCTGTTTAAATTTTAGATCTTTAAATGTGCAAAATGAAAAAAATAATTTGAATATTTATTTTCAATTTGTAACTGGCCTGTTAGTTAGTGAACCTGACTGCTGAGCTAGAGGTAATAGGTTCGATTCCCACTCAGGACAAATAATTGTGTGATGAGCATTTTGTGTCTAGGTGTAATTTCTCTGGTGGCGGCGAGCAGCAGCTTCGCAACGCGCTCGCTTCCAGGGAGCAGAGGGGACATGGGGTTTCCACACGGGGGGAGTCGTCTACTCGTCTGTAGATGGCCCGACGTATGTCGGGGCATCAGGGACTTCCTTTCTAGGGTATACCTGGATCCCCGGCTATTTGTAGCCGAGACGGCGTGCGGTTTTAGTCGGTTCGAGTCCGACATGCCACCGACAGGTGGTATCCGAGGGGATTTCCGTACGAAAAAAAAAGAGGTGTAATTACGCTATAAGATGTATGTATTTTGAAATATATAAACCTGTTTAACAGGCTCGGCCTTATTTGGGATCAGGCAGAGGAAACTAGACAGAACCTGTAGTAGGCATATGACTTATAACATACTTAAATATTTCTAAATACATACACATTATAGATAACTTACACCCAAACACATCTTGGAAATCACACAATAGTTATCCTGGATCACATCGAACCCACAACCTAGGACTTATTAGTCAGTATCACTAACCACAGAATAAATTAGCATTTATAAGATAAGATAACAAACCATAACAATACTACCACAACATGACCCGACCGACCCGATAAGATAATTATCTGTGGGGTCAATAAATGGTCTATGTCACTGATGACTCTTTTAACATTGACTACTTTAATAGACAGAGGACGTATAGAGGCACCAGGGACTTCCTTTCTAGGGTATACCTGGTTCCCCGGCTATTAGTACTCGAGACGGTTCGAGTCCGACATGCCACCGACAGGTGGTACCCGAGGGGATTTCCGCACGGACAAAAAAAAAAAAAAAAGAGGACATATAGAGATGTTAATGATGCAGATGTCAACCCATACTAAAATTATAAATGAGAAAGTGTGTCCATCTGTTACTTCTCCATATTTAGATGAAATTTAGCATAGAGATAGTTTGAGTCCCGGGAAAGGACATAGAATAGTTATTATTCCAGATATCATCATTTAAGGGGGGGAAAACGGGGTGCAAGTTTGTATAGGGAACGAATAAAAATGAAATTTCGTATGGAGGCCACTTTTTACCGCGGTAACCTACATACACGCGGGCGGAGACGCGGGCAAAAGCTGGTAAACTATACGTCACAGCTTACGTACGTTTATACACGGCTAGAGATAATTGCGTTAGGAAATTACAATATTATTACTATTTTACATGCTCAGGTTTGAGTGGATGTCTGTTATCCCATCAGAACGGCTGAAAGGAAGACCAATTTCTCGATCTGACAACTTTTTTTTTATGGTATAAAGGGGCAAACGAGCAGACGGGTCTGATGGTAAGCAACTACAGCCGCCCATGGACACCTGCAACTCAAAAGTCACAAGTGCGCTGCTGCCCTTGGAGTCCCTCCCACTCGAGTCAGCGGGAGTTGGGTTTGGGCTCCGGTAACCTCACTCACTCAGTGAAAGGCAACGAAAGAATTGCTTAACACCGGTTTTCTGTGAGGCCGTGGTATCACTCCGGTCGAGCCGGCCCATTCATGCCGAAGCATGGCCTCCCACGTTTAGCTGTCAAAAAAGGTGTTTACGTAGTAAAGTATTAAACATCCAACGTTGACTGTAATGTGATTATATCGTATTGTAACCGAAAATTGAATCGGTAATCTGCTAGTCTTAGTAATACTTTACTACGAAAATACCTTTTATGACAGTTGCGAGACTTTTTTTACAAGGATTGGCTTTCAGATATGTATGAAATTTGACAAAGACATAGATTAAAATATGTATCTTAAAACCCAGAAAAATCGATAGGCAAAATCTAGTAGTTACTTTGTCAAAAGCAAAAAATAATATCACAAAAGATTTGGATGCGTTTTTATTATGCTGCTGCGGCTAACGGCTGAATAGATTTAGATGAAATTTGGTAAAGAGATACATAATTGGTTAAGGACAATGGACTACGACACTGTTTGAAAATCTATTAAGAGTCAATAAGTGATAAACTAACTCATAACAACTAGTCAACCAACTAAAACCCTGACACACATATATGTATTCCAACACACACACACACACACACACACACACACCCCGCGTATTAATTAGATTATTATTTTTAATTTTGGTTTTTCTTTCTATTTCGATTTATTATACCAAAATTATGACTGTCTTTGTAAAACGGGGAGGACATTGGCTCCTATCTACTAGTCCAGCGCTGGAGAATTTTAAAATTAATGTAAGCCTAATGTTAATCCGTCACAACGTGTGGTGACGGATTAAGAATACAAAGTGTCACCACCCCTACTCATCCCGTGGGTGTCGTAAGAGGCGACTAAGGGAGCAAAATACACAGGACAACAGCACTGCAGTGAGAAGGAAAACTTGACACAAACCCTATACCAACCCGTCTGGCCAGCGTAGTGTAGTAGGCCAAAACCTCCTTTCTAAGGAGAGGCCTATGTCCAGTAGTGGACTAGTAAAGGCTGTTGATGAATAAGAGATAAATTATAGTCTGGAATAACACTTACCAGGGTGAGCAGAGGTATGTATTGTGCATCAATTGTGAGCAATTCTTTAAGTGTGACGTCATTCTCTTCCGTGTTCTTATCTGTCTTCTCCACCGCGCACTCCTGCTCTGGCTCCATCATATCTTTTACTTCGATTCTAGTGGGATCTAGATAACAGAGATAAAATATTGTTTTTTTAACTAACATTTTATAAACATTTCTTACCATTGCCTGTCAATCACAATTTACCGTCTAATAAGGTAGATTCATAGGTTTAAAATAAATTATTTCGTTTGAGTCATTAAATGTTTTTAATGTCATTTAGCACAGCCCGAATTGTCCTCCATTACAATTTAATGTTAATATTTTTTAACATTTATCCGTGTGGTGACGGATTAAGAATACAGAATGTCACCACCCCTATTCATCCTGTGGGTGTCGTAAGAGCCGACTAAGGGAGCAAATTACGCGGGACAACAGCACTGCAAAGAAAAGGAAAACTTGAAACAAACCCTGTACCAACCTGTCTGGCCAGCGTGGTATACTAGGCCAAAACCTCCTTGCTAAGGAGAGGCCTATGTCCAGCAGATGACTGTTATAGGCTGTTGATGATGATGATGATGATGATTTTTTAACATTAAATAATAATCATATCCTACCACCTTCACACAACGCCATCTAGTCCCAAACTAAGAAGAGCTTGTTCTATGGGTACTAGACAACTAGAAATATTAATTTAAATGATTTGACAATAGCTGCAAATGTATCAATCAATCGTTTTGACGTTTTATAAAAGGATACTGATTTGACTTGTCAGTCATCTACCCTATTCTTAAAGTGCCCAAAAGAAGGAATAGGTTTCCCCCTTTTACGTGAGTTTTTTACGCTTTTTAGGGTTCCGTACCTCAAAAGGTAAAAAATGAACTCTTAGAAATCACTTTCTTGTCCGTCTGTCCGTGTGTCACCAACAATTTTCTCAGGAACGGGTAGATCTAGCAAGTTGAAATTTATACCAGATACTGAGGTCTATGGTCCCTATTAGGTGTACAAAAATCAAGGTCCTGAGTCAACACGATAAAAAGATATGGGTAAATTTCGATTTTCACGAAAACTTGTAAGTACCAAAATTTACCTTAATTTTAAACTTTTTTATTTTTTAGAATTTTCTCTTTACTTGTGCTGGAAGACCTTGCTTTTAACCAAAATTGTACATTCTAGGTCAACCAGAAGTACCCTATAGGTTTTGGGTCGAAAACCTATATGGTAGTTCCTGTTGACCTATAATCACGAAATTTGGCAAAAAGAAACGTCTTATAGCACAAATAAAGGAATAATTCAAAAAAATAAAAAAAGTTGAAAATTAAGATAAATTTTGGTGAGTTTACAAATTTTTGCAAAAATCTACGTAAAATCTGGGTAGGTACGGAACCCTCGGCGCACGAGTTCGACTCGTACCTGACCGGTTTTTTACGATAAAATGTTTTTTTCTTTTTCAACTATAGAAAATTATTTCCATAAATATAATATTTTTAGGAATGGAAAAAGCCGTTAATCCTGAAGGTCCTAATCACTGACAAACTATTTAAATAATTGCACCCATTGGGGTCCTTGATAAGTGTGCAGATTCAATTTTATTTCAACATTTTAAAGTGAGTCAAATTCACGTTCAAAGATTCCGTTACATTTATACATACATACCAAGCTAATAAAACCATGTTAAAAGTTGCGAGAAGTTTAAAAAAAACCCAGAAAAATACACATTTGCGTATAACCAATCTCAATATATATTTATACTAGCTGACCCGCGCAACTTCGTCTGCGTCTCTCAATAGTAATAAATTTTCTCCGTTTTTGAAACATTCTTCATTGGTGCTCCGCTCCTATTGGTCTTAGCGTGATGATATATAGCCTATAGCCTTCCTCGATAAATGGGCTCTCTAACACTGAAAGAATTTTTCAAATCGGACCAGTAGTTCCTGAGTTTAGCGCGTTCAAACAAACAAACAAACAAACAAACAAACAAACTCTTCAGCTTTATAATATTAGTATAGATATATAAATAAAAATCAATCTTTCTTTGTTTGTCTTCTATGCGTTCCGAAACCATTGACCCCAAAAAAAACTATATTTCAATGATTTTCGAGCTTTCTTTATTTCTTCATACTTTACGTACAGCTGGTCGAACAAATTTAAAGATCACTTTTTATTTAAGACACTGTGACAATTTACGTGGTCAAAGTTCTTACACGTCACCATTATCATCATCTTAGCCGAAAGACGTCAGAATCAGAATCATTTATTTGTGTCCACTTCTGGACATAGGCCTCCCCCAAGTGTCGCCACAACAGCCGGTCCTGTGCTGCCTGCATGCAACGGCTTCCCCCGACCTTCACCGAGTCGTTGGACCACGTAATTTACCACATGTATTATTGTTTTTTTTTAAATATGTAGCTCACTTACCAGTAGATCGTGGACTCAGTTCAGCAAGTGTCCTGGCAGCGTCTGACTCCGGGTCCAGCTCGTCTCCTGGCCTGTGCTCGCGCAAGTGATGACGACCGGTATAGCCACGCCCGCGGCCGACGCTCGACATTATCACTACCTGGAGTTGTTCAGAAAAAAAAGGGTCAACTGCGAATTGGATTGATGGGCTAAAGGTGCCTTTTGTATTCAGAATTCTCGGTATACTGTACAAAAGGTGTATTTTTGTTATTATTAAGTTTTGAAGAAATGGTTTATTTTAAGGTAGGTTTTACGATAAAAAAAAATCTTAATCTTTCGTATTTTTGAACTTATAGTAAGCTAGTTTTTGCCAGCGGCTCTGTCCGCGTATATGTTGGTTATTGCGATAAAAAGTATGCCTATGTCCTTCATCAAGAATCGAAGTACATGTCTTGATACCAATTTTCATTTTAATCGGTTCAGCGGTTTAGCCACGAAAACGTTATAGACAGACCGAGTTATTTTCGCATTTTTAATATGATTAGGAATTACTGCCACCATTTCTACATTTTGGTCTAAAAGTGTTTATAGCTTTTTTTCAACTATTATTTATATTTGCTTTTGTAGTCGTTAATGATGATTATTTCACTATTTGAGACTAAAAAACTAACAAGTACGTAAGTTTCATATGCTTTAGTACACGCCTTAGTAAGCCGCATTAGACACTACTGTATTTTTAGATACAGAAACAATCTGCACAAAGAAATTGACTGCCGGATGGCGTAGTGGTCTAAGCGGTCGCCACGCCGCTTACTACTACGCTGAGTGTTGTGGGTCCGATCCCCACATGGGACGACACTTTGTGTGATACACAAATTATTCTTATAAGTCTGGGTGTTCTTTGTGTCCGTTTTATGTATGTTTGTAAAGTCCCCCGCGACACAGGATATATTCCTAATGCCAGAATTGTCTTTTTAAATGAAATGAAAATCTTTAATCCTAAAGATCCTGATCCGGATAATCGGATAAATTTATTAAATTACCAGCTGGTACCCGCGACTTCGTAGTTCGATTCCCGGACCGGGCAAAATTTTATAGAGTTTTTCTGAGAGGAAAATAACCTAAGTTACTCCTTATATAGACAGCACCCTGGTAGTCAAATTTAATAGAAACCGGTCAAGCCGTTTTCAAGATTACGCGGAACAAACAGATCGACGGACAAAAAATATTTAAACTTGTTTTTAGGCATAGGTATCGTGCAAATAACCGTACCGAGCATTAAATAAACCTATTATTTTGACATTACAAACAGACACTTCAATTTTATTTATTTGTATAGGGTATATATTGTATTTTTTATGGTTTAAGGGGGCAAACGAGCAGACGGGTCACCTGATGGAAAGCAACTACCGCCGGCCATGGACACCTGCAACTCAAAAGTCACAAGTGCGTTGCTATCCTTGGATTCCCTCCCGCTCGAGTCAGCAGGATTTGGGCTCCGGTAACATCACTCACTCAGTGAAAGGCAACGAAAGAATTGCTTACCACCGGTGATCTGTGAGGCCGTGGTATCACTCCGGTCGAGCCGGCCCATTCGTGCCGAAGTATGGCTCTCCCACGGTATTGTCATCGTTCTTTGATAACTGTGCGAAATAATTATGTACGACGTTTGCGTGGACGAAAATTATGTTCAAAGATTCCGCTATATACATACAAGTGAAGCCTAGAAGTGTGTTTGTTTGTTACGCTTTCACGCATAAACCACTGAATCGATTTAAATAATTCTTTCACCAATGGGCAGCTACATTATCAGCGAGTAACATGGGCTACTTTTGGGCGGAGCCACGGTTAAAAGCTAGTTGGTTTATAAATGACGGAGTTCTGAGGTAAAAAACATAAATAACATATAACCGACTTGAGAATACCATCCTTTTTCTATGGTAAATTATAAATTACCATAAAACTTTAACAAGGTAAAATTACGAACACAGGTAGTAGTTACAAAACACACAAAATATCAACATCAAATTCAATAGGTTTCGCACAAAACAACCTTGTAACTTTCTTTTTAGAACAATATATTTTGTTCTTACATTTCTTTTGAGCTTACAAACAATAGAACAAGTAACTCGTTAAAGAATCACGTTTAAAAAGAGTGTCCTTCGAGTTCTGTGGCTGTTTTTTTAATTGTTTAGGGGGGGGGGGGGGGGGGGGGGGGGGGCAAACGAATCTGGTATCCCAGCCACTGGTACAAGAGACGGCGTCCGGTTTTCGGTCGGCTCGAGTCCGACATAGCCACCGGTGGCTGGTATACCGCACAGTAACAAAAAAGGGAGAGGGGGGGGGGGGGGGGGGCAAACAAGCAGACGGGGCACCTGATGGTAAGTGATAACCGCCGCCTATTAACACCTTCAATTCCAGAAACACAACAACAAGGCGCTACTCAATTCCCATCAGGTGATCCGTCTGTTCATTTGTTCTTCAGTCAGAGTCAGACTCGGTGGGCATGCACATAAAAAAAAATTCTCTCTTTTAATATATCTTATCTAATATATAATTACCACAGCAGCTAAATTATACTCCATAGATGACTTTTTCTATTATTATTTATATGCACACATCTCAGATATGAGCAAGAGAATCAAACATGGCTGAAAATTAACTCTAAAGTAACCACAAAAAAAGAACTTTACTACAGTAGATACCAATTTAGAGCTTACTAACCAGTGGTGTACCAGATACCCATATTTGTATATTTATTTGTGGATATCTAAGCGAAAATTAGTGTCAACGAACTGTATGACAGATCTTATTTTGTTTACAATATTATTTTTTTGGCTAAAATTAAAAAAAAATAGTATCTAAAACTTTATAAGCAAAAACCCAAATCTTCGTGACATATGTATTATGATTAATATTAAAAAAAAAATGTATATTAGCATTACTTGGGGAGAAAACTTAAGATTTCTTTTCACAGATCTAGAGACCAATCCACACTAATATTATAAATGTGTCTCTCTATCTGTCTGTCTCTGTGTTAGCTCTTCACACTTAAACCGCTAAACTGATTTTAGTGAAATTTGTTATAGCAATAGTTGGAGTCCCGGGAAAGGATATAGGATAGCTTTTTCCCAGGAATCATCCTTTAAAGGGGTGGAAGTTTGTATGGGGAATCAATAAACCGCTGATCCAATCTAGATGAAATTTGGTATGAGGATAGTTTGATTTTTGAGGAAGGACATATACACACTTTTACTGCAACAACATACACATAGGTGGAGCCACAGTTAGCAGTTTTCTTTTAAAAGACAACTCCCGCATTAGGAATATATACTGTGTGGTGGAGGACTTTACAAACATACATGAAATGGACACAGAGAACACCCAGACTCAGAACAACAATTTATGGATCACACAAAATGTCGTCCAATGTCGGATCGGACCCACAACACTCAGCGTAGTAGTGAGCGGAGTGGAGACCACCTTAACCACTACACCATTTGTGCAGTCAAGCTCACACTCTTACTATAAATAATGTTAGTGACCTTCACATAAAGCAAGTATTTGCGTAATATATAAAACATATCTCTTTCTTAGCAGCCTCAATTAGTATACATCTACTAATAAGGCCCATTGCCTGTTTTGTCATACTATATGTATAAATAACTATAATAGTCATGGCTGAAAACAGAGTAACATCTAGATGATCTAATAAAAAAACTTTAATTTATTAACTAAAGTTCATTGTCAAGGTGACTGCCAGTATCATAATTTGGCAAGTGAATAGATCCGTACCAGTTTCAACCAGATTCATCATGATTTCTTATAAGAAAAAGTTATTGTATTAAAATTGGTCCAAAGTTACCGGTAACTAGTTGATTTAACATAGAGAAGAAATAAAGATGTTTATAGTTTAAAAAAAAAATTGGCAAGACTACAAACAAGTTAAAGAATGAGTATATTATGACTCACAAATATCCAAAAAGTTTTAAAGTATTGGCCGAATCCCGCGCATTGCCTGCGTCATGGGAAAAAAAAATGCCCACATGTCACACATCGTGTGCCGTACTTATATACACTATCACTTACACAAAACATCTTACAAATGAAGATGTTTATATTACATTAATATATATCTTACGCTATGTGTCGCTCGTAAATCTATAAGTATACGCGATAAGATAGTTTTACATCTGTTTGTAATACTTAAAATAAAGCATTTCATGACATGTAAACACTTGACATATACTCGTAATATGTCATATATATCTACGTTTTTTTAAATATACAAGGAAACCATCAATGAAAACTTAACAAATGTCTAAAAATTAATTGTTTACAACAGTTTTGTCTGTAATTTTAAAACTTATAGACTATGTATCTTTTAAAAATATCTTTGTTCACCGGCAAATGTATATACGGCTGAATACTATGATCGCGTACATTTCCATTTATTGGCATCATGCGAAAACGGGGGATCAATGAGACGAAATAACTATGCCATTGAGTATGTGAAAAATTTGTAAATATATACTCACCAAATTAAATAATAGAAAGTATTTTGGACTTATTTATTTCTCAGTTGTTTGGTCGCTCTGGAGTTGACATACGTTTCACTTCCATATTGGCGAATAGTGCTGCACTCAAACACTTCTAAATACATCTTGTAAGAGCAAAAACCGAAATATTCGATTTAAAATTAGGATAAATGAAACAATATAAATATAATATCAATACACGTTGTACTTTAGGATTAAAAAAAATAGAAATCTAAAAAACTATGTATATAATGCAAATATTTTAAGATATATTATTAGAATCTATTTTTGTGTTTTTATTAATTTTCAGTTTTAATAAGTCAAGCTCAGTCAATTTTATTAAAATACAGTCTGAAAACGAACTTCTACAATACGATTCAACCATTTTTAATATTACTTTTAGAAAACAATATCTAAAAGGCTGTTATTTCAGTTGTGGCAACCCTCATGTATGAGACGCTGAAGTCGGCAATTAATTTATTGGTGCTTCTTGCGCTTTTAAAGGCCTCAAGTTCTTATTAGAATTTCAGCACTTTAATAACAGGAACACAGACAAAGAGGAAAGGCAATATTTTACTTTCACAGAAAAGTGAATTTGTTTTTATGTAAAGGTTAAAAAGAATCATACTTTGAAACTCTATTCTAATTATTTAATTTATGTATTGGACATTAGAATAAGATATATATTTAATGGAATTGTCAAATGAGATGTCTATTTAATATAGAAATAATTTGTTAGATAAAGCATCAAATAATTTATTGGTAAAGTTCTAAATTGGGTTAGGTTCTTAAGGTGTTTATGCATTTTCTTTATTTTTTTTTCTTCAAATAAAATACATAAAAAAACGGTTATAAAAATATATTTTTGCCCTCAAAAAACCGAAATCCAAAATTTCTACTTTATCGGTTTATTATAAACCGTTTAGATCAATCCCTCGCTGAAAGCCGATCGAAAAAATGACATTTCAGTTTCGGGGGTGAAGAATGGAAGCGGGGCGTGCGTTTTTCTTCGGGCGGATAACTGACGAAATTGAATTTTCTCTTATTCTATGTAATTTTTAAATTTTCCGTGTATATAGCGATATCAAAACAACGTCACACAATGATATAAGTTTATCTTTATACCGTGAAGTGTTCCCCCGTTCTTCAAATTTATTTTAATCGCCACTGCGGCTGTTTGTACTGCTGTTTTTATTATTGATATTTTTATTTCACTGTCATCCTGCAAGATTGTTTTGAGTACTTAGATACATAGAAAGGAGTTTTTACTTCTAAAAACCGTAAAACAATATCTGTATAAAGAAAAAAAATCTTTAAAAAAAATAAAACTTAAATATGTCTGACGGTCACGGGGAGCCGAATCAGCTGAATCAAAACAGAAAGGAAAGCGTAGCGGCTGCTAATGTACCGAGTGATAGCCCTGTGACGGATCCTGGGCAGGTGCGAGGAGGAAATGCCGATGCTGCCACCGCCGGAAAATTCGAGGGTCAGCGCGGGAAATCAGGCGCCTTGAAGAAATCTGCTAGATATCGCAGCAGGTCACTTTCGGCCTCATCGGCAGATTCTTACAGTTCTACATCATACACCGGTAAGTTGTACAGTAGTTTTTTTAACTTCTCTTACTTGAGACCTTACTACAACTAATTAAGTTAACTTATTAACTGAAATGAAAATTCATCATAAATAAAATAAGACAGTGTTTAGTTACAAATATAGAAAAAAGAATTTTGAGATTTTTATGAAACATTATTTCCTATTTTTAATACTAGAATACTTTAAATAATTAATATAAACTAGAAATAATCTGTATGGTAATAGTAAGAGATTTTTTAACACGATTTTTAAGGAAATTGAAAATTTACATGCAGAATCCTGAAATTTCTAAAAAAAAAAATTATGTTTAAACTGCCACAAGAAGGTACGAAATCTAAATATGTTGACCTGTTATGCTGCAAAATCTTTAAACCATTACAGATCAAATTAAACTGGACATGATATAAAACAGAACTTGAGTGTTAGGTGATATTTAGTGTTTTTTTAAAGTTTATTCAGACATGTGAAGAAACAATTACATAAATGTATTTATTTACTTATTAGGGAATGGAAAACTAGCTATGTATTAGTAAGAGTATATTCTTGTCTTTAAATAAAAAATAATCTAATTGAAGTCATAAAGGCAAATAATTATTACCCTTGTACTATTGTACTATATATATATATATATATATATATATATATATAGTACTGTCTCTGCTTATGAGGATATCATCATCATCAACAGCCGCTAACAGTCCCCTGCTGGACATGGGCCTCTCCTTACAATGGACCACCACACTGGCCAGACGGGTGGGTATAGTCCTACGCAGTTTATTCCCTTAGTCAGCCTTTACGACCCTCACGGAATGAATAGGGGTGGTGACACTCTGTATTCTTAATCTGTCACCACACAGTTTAATTTATGCGCAAATACAAATGTTTAAGAATATTTTTTTTAGAAAAGGATTTCTTTCTTTCTCCCTCAAAATGTGCAAGGTCTTAATCTGTTGAATTCTTCTCTTAAATGCTATTTAAACTATTTGCTTATTTAAACAAACACCTATTATAGTTCTAAAGTTGTTGCAAAACGTAGTAGAATCATGGAAGAGATCCAGATAATAAGATATGAGGAAGAAGGTAGGTCATGATAAGCCGTTATCTTGTAGTAAATGCAACTGATTATTGAAACCGTAGACATCGGCTTCCATAATCAATCAATGTACACTCTTCAGATAACAGCAGCATTAAGGAGAAGCTTTGTATTTATAATCATCAGTATAAATAAGTCATGTAATTATAAGTGTCGCTGGCGGTAGTGTCGCGGTTCAGGTCGTTGATCTGGACTAATATGGCTACACGATGTCCCGTAGGCCGTCTGTATACCCAGGTCGACCCAAAATTACTTCACTTAAAACTACTTGACGGATGGCGTAGTGGTTTAAGCGGTCGCCACGCCGCTTGCTACTACGCTGAGTGTTGTGGGTCCGATCCCCACATGGGACGACACTTTGTGTGATCCACATATTGTTGTTCTGAGTCTGGGTGTTCTTTGTGTTAGTTTCATGTATGTTTGTAAAGTCCCCCGCGACACAGGATATATTCCAAATGCTCCCGCATGTATCCTTGTCTTTAAAAAAAAAGGTGTTCATTTCTTCAAAAGGCCAACCTAGACCCTATACTGTACTCGCACAGTTTTATTTAACTTTGTTTACGAACTAAAAAAACTGTGGTTTGTTTCAACGTTTCGTCCATGAATGAGTCTTAGAAAATGCCGACTCCATCTAGCTGTAAAGTCAGACTTGTTATAATATCCGCCTGCGTGTATGTCGGTATAGTAGGCCAAAACCTCCTTTCTAAGGAGAGACCTATGTCCAGCAGTGGACTAGTATAGGCTGTTGATGTGATGATGATGTATGTCGGTTATCGCAGTAAAAAGTAGTATATGTCTTTCCTCAAGAATCAAAGTATATTGATACCAAATTTTATCTAAATCGATTCAGCGGTTCTTGATTCCCCAAACTAACTTCTACCCCTCTTTTCACCCCTTAAAGGATGCTTTCTGGGATCAAAACTATCCTATGTCCTTTCCCGGGACTAAAAGTTAGAGGGCTCTAACTTTTCGGCCATTCAAGTTAGAGCCCGTGGCTAAGTGGTAACCGAGTAGATTAACACATTGCAAGTTAAGCGATCCTGGCCAGGTCAGTCTATGGATGGATGATCATTTGTAACATATTGAGGCCCCGAACATCTGTGGAAATCGTTACTGGTAGTTGGAGCCCTAAAAATTCCAACAACAGTCTTTCTATATACTTCGATATCGCCTAGTATTTGGGTTGTGGAGGTCTGAGGGCAGTAGCACCGTGTAAAAAAATCGAAGTTCAGCCATATCGTAGAAGACTTAAAGCCGACTACAACCTTGTATCGGAAAAAACCTCGCAGGAAGCCCTTGACCTGATTGTATTTTTATCCCCAATCCCCGATGGATTAGCAGGATCCCTTCCGTATCATTACTTTTCCTTTTTTTAATGTAACTTTCCCATTAAAATCCCTAAAGTCCCTGGTTGACGGTAATGGGCTTGGCCTACGAAACTGGCACAAATATTATAATTCACAAAATATGGCCGTTTAATACACTTACGGTTACTTCTTCGAGAGAATATAGCCATGAGTGAGTGTTTGTTGTTATTCTCGAAAAGTTTACCAAGCTAAGCGTAGGTATATGGTTATACACCTACGCTTTATTTGTTTTTAAGATGAAGATCTATTGTTTTGCAAATGTACTCATTATCATACAGAAATTCGACAAACAAGGTTTTTTATGGGAGGTTATACGTATTGGAGTACCCTCTTCCATAATTTTATTTTAGATCAATCCTTTTCCATTATTTTCGTAATTTCACCGATTACTTCTGTGGAGGAATGGGTGTCATGTCCCTCCAACACAAAGGAGGATCCTCCGACCAGGCGAGGTGATCATGCCTGGCGGGCCGCGGCCCAACGGTTGATGTTCGGAAGTTGTATATATGCTAATCGGCGAGGGAATTCTTCATATCGCGATACAGGATTAGCAATTCTCATTTAGTAGTTACTCCGTAGTTCGGCGTGTCTTCGTTAGATGGCGCTGTAGTATGTTTCTGTATCTCTGTGGGAGTCGCCACACTTCCTTTCTAACTATATTCTCTACCTCGCAGTCTCTCCATCTTTTTTCCGAGTTACATATATTTATGCACTCTATCATTAACTCCAAACTCAATCTTTATTAGTTCTTCGACCTGACCTGATTTCAGCTTGAAATTGTGCCTACAGTAAAAAAATAGCGCGGATATCAAATGAAAATCGAAAACGAACATCCGAGAATTTCCAGAAATAACTACCCGAATGTTTCACAATGTTATAGAACTTTCAAGAGTTGGGTAGAGTCTATACCATAAAAAAAAAACGGTCAGGTACGAGTCGAACTCGTGCCGACTGTCAGATTTTACGTAGATTTTCGCGAAAATTTGTAAGTACCAAAATTTATCTTAATTTTCAACTTTTTTCTTTTTTGCAATTATTCCTTTATTTGTACTGTAAGACGTTTCTTTTTGCCTTGATCTTTTTATCGTGTTGACTCAGGACCTTGATTTTTATACACCTAATAGGGACCATAGACCTCAGTATCACGGAGAGACGGACAAGAAAGTGAACTTATAATTGTTCCTTTTTCACCTTTTAAGGTACGCAACCTTAAAAAGTAATCTGTAATGCACTGGGTGGGATCTAAAGCCGTAACTCAGTAACTGAAGCTATAAACGCCAGTGCCGCTTGTATGACATCAAGACTTATAGCTGTTGTTGAATACTACCAGTCGACTCCCAACCGCGATCGTTGCAGTTCTATCGAGCGATAAACTATCGTGCTTTTTAAATATTAAAAGCGTTTAAGTCTATTTCATGCTTAATATCGACACAAGTCGTGATATTGAAAGAAATATATTGTCAGTCTGTGTTGTTTGTGCAAAGCGATCGAGCGTCGCGCTGCTCTGTCGACCAATCTATTTTGCATACAGAACTGTGCATTGCGGTATTGGTAACTAAATATAGAAAGAGACAGTGTATTATACAGTGTATTATATTTGCATTTTCTGTACAATAAATGTGGGTTAAAGTAGTCTGGTATATCAATTAGATATATTTTTTAATGAACTGTGAAGAAATTGTCTTTGTGTTTTTTGGCGAGTGGAGTTCTGATTAGTAACGCTAAACAAGTATTCGTATGGAAGTGAAGTTTTGGTATGGAAGTAGTGTTTACGAATATACTCAAGTGATATTAAAGAACTGGAGTTTTTGAAACAGTAGTTACATTTTTGAGTTTATTTAATTGTTCGAATGGAAGTGACATTCATTGAATAGCTAATTAAAAAAAAAAAAAATCGGACATCTAACACACAACGCCATCTAGTTTGAAACTAAGCAGAACGTGTACTATGAAAGCTAGATTGACTGATAGAATACTTATAAACTTTTTTTTCGTAAATACATACATACATATTATACATGGAAAACACCCAAACTCCGAAACAAATATTTGCAGATCATACAAACATTTGGTCCGACCCGGGAATCGAACCCGAGAGCTCAGCACATCAGTCGCATACGCTACCACTGCGCCACCGAGGTAGTCCAGCTTTTAGCTTAACCGTGGGGGCAGGGGGTCATATCTCTGGTCACCAGGGACTTCCTTTCTCACCAGGGACTTCCTTTCTAGGGTATACCTGGTTCCCCGGCTATTAGTACCCGGCGACGGCGTGCGGTTTTAGTCGACAGGTGGTATCCGAGGGGATTTCCGCACGGGAAAAAAAAAAAAAAAAAAATGGGGTCATATCTCTAGTTAATCTATATACTAAAACATGGAATGGAAATACATATGATTCATTTTATTTCATTATATTTCTACCACCTCCAATTTACCTGTGATTAATTTCGATGTCACAGTTTCAAATAATATCGTTCCACGTTTGATTGATTTCGGTTAAACAAACACAACTGTCCGTGTGGTGACGGATTAAGAATACGGAATGTTACCACCCCTATTCAACCCGTGGGTGTCGTAAGAGCCGACTAAGGGACCAAACTACGCACGACAGCAACACTGCAGAGAGAAGGAAAACTTGACACAAACCCTATACAAACCCGTCTGGCCAGCGTGCTATAGTAGGCCAAAACCTCCTTTCTAAGGAGAGGCCTATGTCTAGCAGTGGACTGTTAAAGGCTGTTGATGTGATGTGATGATAAATTTCGATGCGGGTTCCAAGATAGCTTGGTTTCCCGGGCTTCCCGAGTGTCATAACTCGGTGTGATCCTGGGTCACTACTGGTGATCCTGGTGTATAGGACTTACAGTAGTGTACACCGCCAGGCGATCTTCAACACTAATACACAGAGTGTTGTCTCTACAAAGTTTTTTCTAATTTATCCATCTTTGCA